CTAATAATACATCAAAGAATAATTTACATATTTGGATTTAAATTAGAATCTATAGTTGTAAAGAATATAAGTATTAAAACAATGAATTTATTTGTTCAAGTATTATAATCAGGCTTATAAGATTATTTATAATCATTATGTGATTATAAATACAGGCTTATTAAGGATAAACAGTCTCATAAGATTATTTATAATCATTATGTGATAAGGAACGTTGTTCAAGTATCATATAAGATGATGTTACATTTTAATTTTTTCACTTATATGTGCGCCTGATCGGACAGATTATAAGTGATAAAATTAAAGGTCGTAAATTTAGAGACTCTCTAATTGTGGGAACAATGCAATAGCTGATTGGGTTATGAAATTGAATTCAAATTCAAATAATTATCCTTAAAAAAAAATTCAAATTCAAATAATTATCCTTAATGCTATTGATGGAATTCTTAATGTGGATCAGTTTTATTTTTTCCATTCAACTCTCAAGACTTAATGCATTTGATTTCCATGAAACAATCCGTTACATGAGTTCAATTTCTATACGTTCAAGCACATTTACTCCCTGGGTTAGGACTTCAAATACAAAACCCATTTATATAGTCATACGAAGTATTACAGTGAGGGGTTACATTTCTTTTCTGATTATTAAAAGTGCAAGCAGTACCTTGCTTTCAGATTTACGAACGAATTTTTTGTTTGCTCAGTTCAATCCATATTGAGAGTTCATCCAAAGTTCACAATTCTTCATTCTGTGACTAATATCTAATTATTAGCAAGTCGAGCAACGGTCGAAGGTTTCAATCAAGATAGTTACAAGTCTGAAACGGAGTAGGATTATCCTGGGAGCGAGCTAGCCAGACCCGTCCGAATAGCTATTGGGATACGGGGGTATCTTTCTTCAAGGCCAGTCCGTTTTAATGGACGATCCTGCGATAAGTTTTCCTTATCTTTTCTCTTTATTCATTTTCCATTTATTCTAATTATTATTATTCTCTTTTCTTGCATTTGGCGGTTTGTCTGGTGATTTATTTAAACTCGAGATTTTTATCTGATTAAATTCGGGATATTTATTTGGTTAAACTCGCAATTATAATATCAATTTTTCTAACAAAAACTAATGATTTTAATTGAAGAAAGAAAAGAATCGTAAGTATCTAAAACGATAGACTATGAAACTTTAATACTTAATATATGAAATTCACATGTAACGATAGTCATACTAAGTAATACTTAGTCTATACAAGTAAGTGCTGTTGTGATTGCCAATTTCCTATCCATTTTATACTATCTGCTCTGTTACTTAAGTGCCGCCTTGGGACAGGTAATCTTTGAAAATGAAGGTGCAAGTGTAATTTTATTTCATTTCAGTAAAAGTAGTACTCCATGAATAATAAATTGGTGTTTTAGTCCAAATCTGATTTTCTTCTACCAAAGAAACACTTAACCAGGCAGCTGTTAGAAAATATTAGTAATATTGCGAGTTTAGTCAGATGAAAATTCCAATTATCACAGGATAAAAATAATTAGAATACTCCAAACTTTGAAGGGGTGTGTTGAAGTAAACACTCAAACTTGCATATGTAATTTAAATACCCCAAATTTTATATATAAAGTTATTTTAGCACCATATATAGTCAAACATGATTTTTTTGAAAAATACTACCTCCGTTCTCTTTTAGTTGCAACATTGGACTTTTTGCACTATTCACATGTTCTGCTTTGACTACATTTTATTAATTGATGTATAATAAATTAAATTTTTAAAAAATATTGTTAAATTCTTTTCATTCTAAATTTTCAAAATAATAATTTTTTAATTTTTTTATTAATAAGGAATGAAAGATATTAATGGTCAAACTTGTGCGTTGGCAAACGTAAAATGTTGACTGTTGCAATTAAAAAGGAACGGAGGAAGTATATATTTATGGTATTAATTGCATAATTCAATACTCCGTATATTTTAGCATTCACGAAGACACAATTAATATTCTAAACTTCCATTTTGAAAAATATAATATTACCTTCAGTTTATATAATTGCAACACTTTTAAATTGCTATTCTAAATTATGCATCCAAGACTGTTAGAACATAATGTTTTGTTGATGACAAACAACTAGTGTTACCTTTGATCTATAAGTGATTACAGGAAAGGAAGTTAAGTTGTGCTTTGGAACAAGTCGTAGACCTGAACCCAGAACTATCTCACGTTCCTTACGGAACAAAAGATAGAACTATTCTATCACTAATCATGCAGGTGGATAAAATGATAGAACTACTACGCGTTCTAATATGAACAATGGACAGAACCGTCCCTGGTCCTACATGAGATATTCGTGCCCATAATTAGATACGTGTCTGCATGAGCATGTCTTGCCATTTGTGATATCTTACGTGTGTTAATATATTTCCATATTTGATTTGATATTCTGTTGATTGCATTGATACGTATAGTTTATGGAAAGTTTTCTTACTATCTTTATAATGGTGGACCGAAGCTTTTAAATTTTCTAAAGAAAGGGGTTGTCTTACTTTAAATATTAAATAAACATTTTTACTTTATTGCTAAGCATACTATTGATTGAACTTAACATTTATGAGATAAATGTTTTGCTTTATGGAAGTTGACCATGTAATAAAGTAAATATTTTCTTACCATAAAGTTATCTTTAATTAAGATATTTTAAAAAGGATGCTGACTACTTAGTTGCTCTCTTGCTATAATAGGAAAATAAATTATTCCTTGCCGTATTATTTTTTAGACCGTTGCTGCATAAGATATTCTCCCAAATTGGTGTGCTTTTATGTGTTACTAGAATATCTTAACCAGCATATGTCTTTAGCTCAAAATATGAGAGATATTATACAAGGAAAGTAATTCAAAAATATCAAGGCAAGTCCAAGAATTCAAGCAAGGAAAGAGGAGCTAACGGACGTCTTGCATAAGGCTATATATATGATGGAAGATCAAGAGAAGAAGGTGTGCTTGACCAGAGAAATATTAAGAGACATACTCGAGAAATATACAAGTCCAAGGCACCTGAAACTGCTCCCGGAGTTCTAGACAGAGTTCTTATTCCCTTCTTATATTGTAATTGGGTTATTGAGGACGAGCTAAGTGTAGCTTTCTCGGGTTGGATAATGTGTGTTGTGAGAGCTTTGTTGTAAAGCTGAGAGGCTATCTACCCGCAAGGTAGAGAAGCATAATTCTTCCTAAAGAGGATAGAGTTGGGGTGGCTTAAGGGTAGACTAGAAGAGTTTCCCTTGTAATCATTCAAAGGCTTTTTAGTGAAGTTGTTAAAATTATTCCAAGAGAGGTTGAGGATTTTTAATCCCTTTGATCCCAGGGATTTTTCCTCGTTAAATCTTTGTGCACTTTACTATTTCGCAATTTCCTTTACCCCAGAATAGAACTTGGCGAAAAACTGTCACGGTTCCACACACACAATTCACACCACCACCACCCTCTTGTGTTGCTAACCGTTTCATCAAAAACCATAAATTTAGATTTTTGAAAGAAATAATACACGGCCATGGTTCTAAAATAGTTTGAGGTATTTAAATTAAATATGCAAGTTTAGGGCGTTTAGCTCACACTCCTCAAATTTTGGGGAATTTTAATTCTCCCCATTATCACAAATCACCGCACAATCCACCAATTGCAGGAGTGCAAAACAGCAACACTACGAAATCAATTAAAATTTATAGAGGAAACGGAAAGAACGCTTATTGTAGGATCATCCGTTTGAGTGTTTGATGGACTGATCTTGACGAAAGGCAGTCCTCTATTCTGCTCGCCACTTTAGACGGGACTGACCAACTTGTTCTTTGGTGTCTAATAAGCAGGGGCGGACCCAGGAAGTTTATCTTGTGAGGGCGGTAACTTAAAAAAAATATTTTTTGGGAGGGCGAAAATTATTTTTTGGTATTATATACACTAAAAAATTGTTAGCCTACATAATTATTTTATTAATTTTCCATGTACATAATTTTATGTAACTTTCCTTTGTACGTAATTGGTCGTAGTGTTAGACTAGGAAAGTAGATAGCATTTAATTCTCTTGATTTTCTTTCCTAATGCCACGCATGGCTGGTACGTAGTTTACTAAGCATGCGGCAGATCGTTTTGTATATAGAGAGGCACATACGTTTGAGATCAATATGAGATACAGAAAATATTCCGCACATATTCTTTCTTTCTTCATGGTATCAGAGCAGTGATTCGGGACCGACCGATCACGCTCGTGTGACGTCGATATGGCCGGAGAAACCAACCGCAGCGGTGGAGACGGCCACCATGATCACTTGGAACGGAGGAAAATTAACGACCCTTCGTCACCTTATTTTCTTTCGAGCTCGGATCACCCGGGTATGGTGATTTGTGCAGTGTCTCTCAAGGGAGAGAAAAATTATCGGGAATGGAGTACGGCCATGAAGAACGCATTCCGTGCAAAGCGGAAGATGGGTTTTCTTGACGGATCTATTGAACGACCTCTGGGTGTGCCGAGGGATCTGGAGGACTGGTTAACCGTTAATTCCATGACGGTAGGTTGGATTATGACCTCTGTGGATCCGACCTTGAGAACAAACCTTGCCTATATGGAAAGCGTGCACGAGCTCTGGATCGATCTGGAGGCTCGTTTTTCAGTAGGTGATGCTATGAGAACTCATGAACTGAAAGAACTGATTCGAAATTGTAGGCAGCATGGTCAATCGATCACATCTTATTTCGGACAGCTGAATACCCTGTGGGAAGAGTATGATGGTGTACGGAATTTTCCACAGTGTAAGTGCAATGGATGCACGTGTGGTCTCAAGAAACTATTCCTTAAACATATGGAATCGGAGAAAATTCATGACTTTTTGATGGGTCTTGATAGAGAAACGTATGGGACTTTGCGGTCCAACATACTGGGGACGGATGACATGCCTTCGCTGACCAAAGTGTATCACTTGGTGATACAAGAAGAACGGCTCCAGAATTTGACAAGAGAAAGAGAAGAAAAAACCGAAGCGGTGGCGTTTGCTGCACGTTCCGGACCTGCCGCCGGAAAGGAAGACCGCGTGAAGTGCACATTTTGCCATAAGACGGGTCACGAAATTGAAAATTGTTTCCGTCGGACTGGAGTTTACCCCGACTGGTGGCACGACAACCCAACCCGGCATGACAACCCAGGCCGGTCTGGACCGAGCCGTGGAGGAGGAAGACGGGCTGGAGCTAACCGTGGAGGTTCCGGACGCGGAGGTGCTGGACGAGGTGCAGGTCGTGGAGGCGTGCAAGCCATGCACGTGGGAGACTATCAGCCAGAGAATCATGGACTGCAAGGAGGAAAAGAAACGACAATGCATAAACCGGGCTTCACTGATGAACAGTGGCATATGTTTGTCAAGCTAATGGAGAACTGTAAGGCCACAAGTACAGAAGAAAAGCTCTCAGGTACGCAGCTTACTAATGAATGGATCCTCGATTCAGGTGCCTCGTACCACATGACCGGGAATAACAACATGTTGACGGAGATAGTCGGAATATCGCCGGTGGCAGTGACAATGCCGAACGGTGATGTAACCAGGGCAACGCACGTAGGAAATGTCACAATCAGTGGGAGCATGAAGTTGATCAATGTTTTATTAGTCCCTGGATTAAAATGCAATTTAGTTTCTTTGGGGCAATTAATTGATAATCGAAAATGTGACATATTTTTTACTAATGATTTATGTGTAATACAGGACCTACTTACGAGGATGCCGATTGGAGTGGGTAAACGGCGAGGTGGAGTTTATTATTTCCGTGGTCTGGAACAAGCACAAGCACTTGCTGTAGGAGGTTCAGACTCGGGAATTTTGTGGCATTCAAGGTTGGGCCATCCATCAACACAAGTTTTACGTTCGCTTGGTTATTTGAATAAAACGTTGTTGAATTCTGTCCAAAATAAAACGTGTGATGCCTGTGTAAGAGGCAAACAGACGCGTGATAGTTTTATTGCTAGTAGTACTAGAGCTGCTGAATCTTTTGAATTGATACATTGTGATATTTGGGGTCCGTACCGTACTATATCTTCATGTGGTGCTCGTTATTTCTTGACTGTGGTAGATGATTTTTCTAGGGCTGTGTGGGTACACCTGATGAAAGAAAAGAGTGAAGTTAAAATTATTCTCAAACAATTTTTTGCCATGGTTAATAGACAATTTGGCAAAAATGTGAGGGTGGTTAGAAGTGACAACGGCAAAGAATTTATAGGACTCCAAGAATATTTCCTGAATAATGGGATAATTTTTCAAACATCTTGTGTATATACTCCTCAACAGAATGGAAGGGTGGAACGGAAACATAGACATATTTTGGAAATGGCTAGAACGTTGCGTTTTCATGCAAACTTGCCCATTGATTTTTGGGGGGAGTGTGTTTTGACCGCGGGGTACTTAATCAATCGCTTGCCTACACCTGTGTTAAATAATAAAAGCCCCTATGAGTTGTTATATGACAAGTCACCAATGTATAGTCAACTACGGGTTTTTGGTTGCCTTTGCTATGCCCATGTATCAAATAATAAAGGTGATAAATTTGCCCCTCGAGGTGTGAAATGCGTATTTCTGGGATATGCATATTCTCAAAAGGGGTGGAAGGTTTATGATTTGGAAAACAAACGTCACTTTGTCTCCCGGGATGTCAAATTTATCGAGAATAATTTTCCTTTTCGGGTTGAGGGGTATGCTAAGGGAAATAAGGATGATGATGGCGTTAATATGCCTATGTGGGACTCTCACATGCATGGGGATGAAGAGGCAGATGTACGTGGCATGTGTGAAGAAATTGGAGTGTGTGACAATGCAGCTCAGACATGCAGTGGAGCGACTGATGAGTCTGCCCATCAAGATGCGGATTCCCATACGTCTTTGACCGGTGCAGTTGACTCGATGGATAGGAAGAGTGCGGTTACTGATACGCATGCCAATATTTCTGGGCAGAACCGAAGAAGTGAGCGTCCACGAAAAGCACCTGCTTGGCATAAGGATTATGAAGTACAAATGCACACGGTTAAAATAAACTCTCACCCCGTCGCTGCACCTACTCTCACGGCTGAATCAGGTACTCCTTATTCACTATCTCATTATATAAAATATGATCGTTTTTCGGTTCCGCACCGAGCCTTTCTTGCAGCTATTAGTCTGACCAAGGAACCCACTAGCTATGGGGAGGCGGTACGTGATCCACATTGGCGGGAAGCTATGAGTCGTGAGATACAAGCACTTGAACGTACTGGCACTTGGGAGATTCGAGATTTGCCCCCGGGAAAAAGGGCAATTTATTGCAAATGGGTGTTCAAGATCAAATACAGAAGTGACGGATCAGTGGAGCGTTACAAGGCTCGGCTTGTTGTCTGTGGGAACCGACAAGTGCAGGGAATTGATTACAGTGAAACCTTTGCACCCGTTGCTAAGATGGTGACGGTGCGTACCATTTTAGCGGTTGCGGCCTCTTGTCACTGGGAATTACATCAGATGGATGTCGATAATGCCTTTCTTCATGGAGATCTTCATGAAGAAGTCTATATGCATCTTCCGCAGGGATACTCTGCATCATCTCCTGGTAAGGTGTGTCGTTTGCTCAGATCTCTTTATGGGCTGCGCCAGGCACCACGATGTTGGTTCTCTAAATTAACTGCATCCTTGCGGGGTTATGGTTTTACACAATCACATGCAGATTACTCCTTGTTCACCATGCGCAGAGATAATCGCATCATTTGCGTACTCATATACGTTGATGATTTGCTGATTACTGGTAATGATCGCAACATGATCAACCAATTTAAGGCGCATTTGGCTGCCACATTTCCTGTCAAGGATTTGGGAATCATGAAATATTTCCTTGGCATTGAAGTTGCGAGGAATTCCACTGGGATTTTTCTTTGTCAACGAAAGTATGTACTCGATATTTTGACTGAAAGCGGGCTATCTGGGTGCAAGCCAGTTGCATTTCCTATGGTCCAAAATCATCACTTACAGTCTGATTCGGGCCCTCAATTTTCTGATCCGGAACGCTATCGCAGGCTGGTTGGAAAACTTATTTATCTGACCTTGACCAGACCTGACATTAGCTATTCAGTACACATTCTTTCCCAATTTATGCAAAACCCCAGACAGGTTCATTGGGAGGCAGTGCTTCGGGTACTCAGATACCTCAAGGGACGGCCAGGACAGGGTATATTGCTACGTTCCGATTCGTCTCTCTCCCTCACCGGGTATTGTGATGCTGACTGGGCAAGTTGTCCAGTTACCCGTCGCTCGGTCACTGGATACTATGTATCACTCGGCTTCTCTCCAATCTCATGGCGTACCAAGAAGCAAGCTACCGTCTCCCGTTCGTCTGCGGAAGCCGAGTATAGATCCATGGCATCCTTGACTTGTGAACTTATTTGGCTCCGAAATCTACTTCGTTCGTTGGGTGTGACACAAGCCGGTCCGGTTCGTCTCTACTGTGACAATCAAGCCGCACTGCATATTGCAACAAATCCGGTCTATCATGAGCGTACCAAACATATCGAGCTTGATTGTCACTTCATCCGTGATCACATTCAAGCTGGAACCATCACCCCGGCCTACACACCCACCAAGGAACAACCTGCGGATTTACTCACAAAAGCCCTCGGCGCTCAACAATTCTCTTATCTTCTCAACAAGATGGGCATTTGTGACCCCCATGCTCCATCTTGAGGGGGGGTGTTAGCCTACATAATTATTTTATTAATTTTCCATGTACATAATTTTATGTAACTTTCCTTTGTACGTAATTGGTCGTAGTGTTAGACTAGGAAAGTAGATAGCATTTAATTCTCTTGATTTTCTTTCCTAATGCCACGCATGGCTGGTACGTAGTTTACTAAGCATGCGGCAGATCGTTTTGTATATAGAGAGGCACATACGTTTGAGATCAATATGAGATACAGAAAATATTCCGCACATATTCTTTCTTTCTTCAAAAATTTTGTTGTTGGAGGGGCGACTGCCCCCCTGGGTCTCTACTACTGTCCGCCCCTACTAATAAGTCTCTCTCAATTCAAAAAAAAAAGTATCTCCCAATTCAAAATTTATATATAAACAATACGTGTATATCCTAGGACTCATAAGCGGTACCCCCAAAGTAACATACTTGATACTTCATCATATTTTCAACAGTAGCATTGATAACCGCTTTCGCGGCGTTGTAGTAAAACGGAGTTTAACCTTTCAGTTTTTTCCCGAGTATCGTGTCTCTTGAGGAATGACGGAGGAGTTTCTTGATTTTAAGTCCAGTCACAGGTTATCGCAAATTATTGGAAGCTTTCCAAATTAAAACTTTTGATTGATTTTCTAAACTACTTTTGAAAAAGAGACTAACTAAATTTATGCAAATACTGATGATGGCTCAAAAATAAACTAAATGAAAGACATATTAAATTCTAAATGGATTGATCAAATAAGGGCAATGAATTGAGTAATTAGAAATGGATATATTCTTGGACCTAGTAATTAGGGAAATTAAAATTGATATTGGACTAATAATTTCTTTTCTCATAGACAAGAATAGAAACTATTTTCATTAATTTATCCTGTTTCTAGGTATCATTAATGTGTTTAAAATGGTTGGCTGAAATTAAATTCTAATCCCATAGACAAGGTAGAATTAATTCTCCAATATTTTAATTAATAAAAATAGTCAAATTCATTAACTAGTTAAACTCTTTATTTAAGCAATTGAATTTATTTCTCATAGACAAGATGTAAATCCCTTTCATTAAATTAACCTATTTCTAGGCCTTATTAATGTGCTCGAATATGGTTGGCTAAAATTATTTTCTAATCTCATAGACAAGTTAGAAATAATTTTCCAAGAATTTAATTAATGAAAATGGCTAACAATTAATAATTACTAATTCATCATTTTAAACAACTAGTCCAATTTGTTAATTTTAATCCCTAATTTTCGGTCAACAAGTCAACCCATATTCCTTTAGTCAATTCATGCCCAAAACAAATTTAGCTACTAAACATCATTTTTACAATTAACAATACAATGAATAAATTCAACATTAACAAGGAATTAAGCATGTATAATAGCAAAAATTAAACAAAAATAATATTATGCCAAAATAAACTTGTAGAACTAAAATATCACCTTCTGGAATTTTTCCTGAATTTTATAACCTAAAATCCAATTTTAACAACTAATTGATAATTTTCCAAATATTAACTAGGAAATACAAAAAGCAACTACAAATATTCTAAATTCGTTCTAAATTTTATATTGACTACTGGGAGTGATATTACTATGAATTAAACTTGAATTAGGACATAAACTATTTTTTTGCCTTTTTTAAGTATTTTATTTAATTTATGCAATAATAACAACTAAATGCCGGAATTAATTAAAATTTTCTTCTACTTCGTAAAAATTAACTTTTTTTGATAAATAACTAGCTTGAGTCTAGTAAAAAACTATATAATTAATTGGAATGGATTCAACATCAACAATTACTTTATTCAATTTTTGGAAGAAAATGCAAATTACTTGATAAATATTCTGGAAATTTTTGAAGAACAGATAGAACAAACAAAGCACATATTCAGATTCTACACGTTGAGAGGATGAAAATACATATATAGAACTTACAAATTGGAGCTAAAATGAGAAAGATATGAAATATTGAAGATGAAGTTGCAACAATGGTGGAAATCCGAGCTTTGAGGAGGAAGAAGACGCCATTTTTTATCTGAGTTGGGCTTGAGA